TCTTCCATTGATTAAAGGCAAGAACCACATTGCCCCAACACGGCTGGCCTATGTGCAAACACTACAAGACAACTGCTCCACTGCACTGCCCAAGATGGGAAAAACCATCCCACAATGAAGGCGACTGTACTTTTTAATACTTCTGCAAATGCCGTCACCACAGGAGAAGGAAGAGACAATTGGTGCAGCAACCAGTCATATTTTGTTATTGTTGTTGTTAATGCCCGGCTGGCTCTAAGGGAGTGTCTCAGAGCCAAGATCTGATGAGAAGCAAAGAGAGAAATGACCTGAAATCTTAGTGATTTCTGTGGAAATTTTTCTCTCTCTGCCTTGATTCCAAGAGGATATCTGGGAGCCAGATACAAAAACGAATTTAAAAGCTGGCTGCTGTTCTTCTTGCTTCTTTTTCTCATCAGTTAACCAGAGTAATTGTCAAAACCCTGATGATTGCTTTGTGTTTGAGGGAGACGTGGTTAACTGATGAAAAAAGGACTCGGGTTCTGAGATTTTCCTCAGCTTGGTGTCTCTTTGGGAATGGTCATGTACACAGAAGGGTATCCTGTAGACCAGGATTCTCCAAACTTTTGACAGTGAGAGCCACACCAGATATTTTCAACATTTTTAGGGCCAAAGGAACAGGAACGTATGCATTTATTCATGCACCCCCGCATGCACAGATGCATGCACACATGCACCCCCGCCTGCCCCATACACACTCATGCATGCACAGACACCTGCCTGCCCACCCACACATATGCAAACCTAAATTTCTTTATTATTTTCATATCCATATTCATATCTATAGAAAGAAGCAATGCAATTGTGCCTTTCAGGATGAGTTCTGGAATGCCTGCAAGATTGCAGTTGTGCCTTTCAGGACGAGTTCTGGAATGCCTGCAAGATTGCAATTGTGCCTTCAGGACGAGTTCTGGAATACCTGCAAGATTGCAATTGTGCCTTTCAGGACGAGTTCTGGAATACCTGCAAGATTGCAATTGTGCCTTTCAGGACGAGTTACTTGTAGGAAGAAGCATAAAATTTAAAATAGGCTGTTTTTTTGGGGGGGGGTGGACCCTGGGGATCCATCCTTGAAAATCACTGAACTGAGGACTGAAAGATGTTATCCGCCTATACAGGTTTGCTGGGTGGGTCTGAGCTGCAGAGACCATCCTCTGCAAGTTAGTCCTCTGTCTTCATCTTACTCAGTCTTTGACATCTTGTAGGAATTTTATGGGTACCAACGTTCAAGGTCTCAGCTCTCTCACGTCAAGGCCCCCCTTGTCCGTATTCTCTCTCTCCCCCCCCCTCTCTCTGGACTATGATAATCTTTCATGCAAATGGACCCAGAGATATATGCCATCCTATAATTTATTCATCCCGCCCCTAATAGGGCCTTTTGCTTTACATATGCTAATACATTAATTCCCCGGGAATCCTCAACTGCCAGGTCTGGTACTTCTGTTCTGCAAACATTTTGTTCCTTTTTAATCATCTTCTCTTTGCTGGATTCTTTGGAGAAAAGCCAGGGGGAGGAAGGAGAGCGTGAGAGATAGGGTGGGGATACCTTATGGGTACCTTTTCAATTTTTGTCTGCTAGGCACGCAGGCCTTATTTAAAGTTAAAATCTACCAAACCGAAAACAAACTGTATTGGGGTTGGCTTGTGAGCGTTATTGTGCTAAACAAGAAAAGGTGAGAGGCATAGCGCTGTGCTTCCCCTCTGTTCAGCAGGAGACAGAAGTGTTCCCCTTTTGCAAATCCAGAATATCCGGGAAAAAAGCTTTCCATCCCCTTGTTTTGTGCTTTAAACACACGATTTTGCCCCTGAAATTTGCATCTGTCCTTGAGACGTGACAGCTTCTAGCCCAGTCTCCTGACTCTAAAAAGGTGGAGGAATGAGTCGATCAATAAGACAAGCAACCGGCTTGTTTTAACTTCCACGTCGCATCTTCCCTTTGGTCTTTTTGAGTGAGGAAGCTGCCTTATCCTTTAACTGCTGCTAAAGGTGACCGCAGGCATCTGGAAACATTACTCTTGAGTGTCTGGTGGGATTTCTTGTGATACAGGAGGGGTTGAAGGAGGGCAACCTTTTCAAAGCCCCCCCCAAGGAATAAAATCTTCTCTTACCTCCCTCCTTTTGGCCCAGCCCTCACCCCTGTTTCTCTGGTTGTGTTGTGCGTGTGTTCAGAAAGTGTCGCACTGCAGAGCTAAACTCTTATTAATTGTCATTCTCTGTACTCGGCCGGGGTGACAAGGGTGATGATGAAGATGGTGCTCAAAAGGGCAGCACCCGTTATTCTAATGCTGCAAACTCCAGGGGTCTGATTGACCGGCGCATGAGTTTTATACATCACCTCTCAGAGGCATGCTATATTGATCTGAGAGGGGCAGGTGTTTGGGCAAAAGCGGGAGGGGGATGAGGACGAAAATCAGATGCAAAAAGGATCCCTTACAGCAACTATATTATTAATTGGTTAAAAATGTATTTTTTTTCAATGGTGTTAGATCCTGTATGTGTCCATCTCCATTTGCTTCTATTTTAGACCATTGTTGCTGGCTTTTTGCATTGCCGTAGTTTAATATTTTGACATTATTTGGGTGATTTGGGGGTGTGTGTTTTAAAATCCGTGATGTTTAAGACCTTTCTGTTCTTTAAATTTGTTAAACTTATATACCACCGGATCAGCGCTGAGCGGTTAACCGTCAAAACCATAAAGCAAAGAGGAATCATGTTAACAGTAACAATAAGAGACATAACATAAATAAAATCAAATCTGTTTGGCAAATCAGCAAAACAAGAGAAAGGGTCGAACTCCTGCAGACAAGGGCTTCTAGTAAGTAGCCACCGCGCTTTATGCTATTAAAACTGCTTTTAATTCACTTACACTTTAATGTTAGAGTTTGTGCACTTTTTGAAGCAGTGACTATGTGCACTTAAAAAAAAAGAAATCTTTCCCCCCCAGCTGTCTTGAGACCCAGTGGTGTGGAAAAAGTGGATTTTATTATTATTTTTTTAAAAAAATAAGTTTGCCATTAACTCTCCTGGTGGAACTATAAGCACAGTAGATGGAGGGGCCACTGTTTGAGAGTAAAATTCAGAAAGAAAGAGAGAGAGAGAGAATGGGGGGGGGCAGTCTAATGTGCTCATGGCCTCTGAGATTTGTGACCTGGCGCTTCTCGGTCAGCATCCCCAAGCGTTATGCTCCTTTCTCCCTTCCACCCACATCCCACCATGAACAGCAGTCTTTGTGTGTGTGTGTGTTTTTGCTGGTGAGTTTTGCTTCCGCCGCCCACCTCCTTCACGGCTGGCCAGTTCCAGCGTTCTTTCGCAAAGAGGCCTTGGCATTGAATAAATGTCACCCCCAATTAAACCTCCTTCCTTCACCTTCTGTCACATAGGCGTCCCCGCCGGGACAGGCTGGCAACGCTTTGTAAGAGCACATGTAGGTTGCCCCCAGCATGCCTTCCGGTAACATAAACACTGGCTCATTTTCCTCCCCCCCCTCGCCGAGATGCATAATTGCACCAAAAACCCACATTTACCGGGTGGGTTTTTATCTAGCTTAAGCATTTATGTTATCCCAATCAAGCCTGCGGAGAACCTTCCTGCCTATAATTTAAGTTGTGGTTACCTGGAAAGAGCCAATAGCTATTTCTGATCCTCAAAAAGTGGCCCCCAAAAAATGGGATCCAGAGGCTTCTTGGGGGGGTCCCCCATTTTTTTAAAGTGTGGCGCTTTAAAGGTGCAGGAAAGCGGAGCGTCTCTCCCTCAGAGCTACCACCTGCCCGACCTACACCACCCCATCCTTGAAGTTCCTTGGGGGGGGCACCCCAAGGGAATACACGTAGTTGGGCCTGTGAGCATCTTCTCCATCTTTATTTAATTATTTGATGGTTTGATCCCCCCCCCTGTTTTATTGCTTAGCCTGCTGCTGCTGCTGTTGCCCTCTTGAAATTTGAGTTTGTCTCTCCGCGATGCAGTTGGGTTATAGGGCTGGGCGGTATGCTTTCCTTTCTCTTTGGGTGTTTTTATTTTATTTGTATAATTTTACTTGTACATTCCGTTTGTAATCTGCCCAGAGTACAAACGGAACGGGCGAGGTAGAAATTTAGCAAACAGAGACTTAAATAATGCTAGGAGACTGTTGGAATGTGGGGGCTTTTCAGTGGGAGCCCGGAAAAATTGCATTTTGGATCATGTACTCTCTCTCTCCTGGAGGAATATTTTTTCCTCCATCCTAATTTGCTCCTGGTTTGATCTTGCACAGCAGTTCTAGGAGTGAGGAACCCATATATCTTGGACTACAATGCCAATCAACCCCAGCCACCATGGCTGCCAAAGAGTCACCAAGGATGGGAGCTAGTGGCTTCTATTGATGAATGTTTGGGAGGAGGTGGTGTATAAAACTATGGCAG